AGAGAGGTGTATCTTGCTTTGAAAGGCAGATACACAGTAAATGTGCTGCCAGAGTGAACTTGGGACATAAGGACCGTGGTGTAGTGGTAACACGCTGGATTCGGACATGAAAAGGAGTGGTTCGATTCCCTTCCGGTTTAGAACAATTTTTGAAGAAGGGTTCCGTTCACCGCATTTATTGTTTTTATTTTCAACACTTAAAAAAGAAAGAACCCTGTAAAACTTACCAGAATTTGAATTCCGGAAGACGTCTCATGAACGGGCGAAATTCTTCGTTCCCTTTTGATGGCAAAGTGGGCCCATCTTCATCTAAATCAGCGATTTCAAGTTCGAAAAAAAAAGCATATTGGAACAGACATGAACGATAGCGACAATTATAACGAAAACACTGACCTTCACTTTCAAAATCAAGCGCCGGATCAATTTTTGGCGTCAAAAAGGCAAGGAATAAATTTAGATAATAGATTCCAAGGGCGTATGTCACAATGTAGAAACCCTGAAAATGAAAAAAGAAGTCACTGAATTACTCTTTTTTATATAAATTCCGATCACAGACAGGGCACTCACCTTTATAAAAGTCAGCGGTAAGGGACAGGGATCATCTCTACCCTTACTACGGATCCTTTTCTTCCCCTTCTGTATATTATCTACAGACCAATCTAAATATCATGAAAGAAGAAATGTTAGGAAGCAAAGCAGTCAATATTTTATCCCTTAGCTGTAAAAACAAACCGAAAGCACCATCTAGGTAAAAGTGGAAATTATCAGTACAGCATAATTACGAAAAAAATATTCCATTTCGCAAGCTATCTGCCTGGAAAATCGACGAAGGGAGACTTGCCTGAAGCTCGACAATCCGCCACAGGAACAGTATGGCAAAGGCAATTGCAATTCCCCATCGAATCCAGCCATACGGCGTCAATCTGTCCAAGTAATACTGGTATTTCTGAAACAGTAAAGTTTGCAAAAAAACATTTCCATTAATTATAAACCCTGATAAGATATAAGGAGAAAAAGAGGAGTCCTTCTCAACTTATTTTTCCCACCACCCTCCTCCCGCCCCGCCCTCTCTTCTACCCTTCCTCCACGTGGATGGGTAACATCCCTTTAAAATTTCATCTTTTCTGGTTCAAGGGCTAGTGATTATCTCGCAAAAACTTTCAAGGGGCCGTGCTTGAGAACCATGCATACCCGAAGGCCGAATTTAAAATCCTCAAGTTGTACGTGGGTGAGGGGAAGAGGTCTGTGTATGTATGTGTCGGTGTGTGCGTCTGCACCGATTTTTCATCTCGAAACCTACAACAGTTTCAAGGCTGAACTTTGAGAACTTAACCTGCATGCATGTACGGATCATTACCCCCAAAATGGACATTCTTGCCTACGCGGTTCTTACGTACGGGCCCGTGAAAGTTTTTTGAGGATAAGTTGCTGACTCGGCAACTAAGAAAGTCGAAATTTTAAAGGGAATGTTTCTTGTCTATGTAGGACTTAATGAGTAAGGACACGTGAAGATTTCTGGCGGGTAAATTGCTAACTCGGGAACCAGAACAGTTAGAAACTGGAACTTTAAGAGAATGTTTTCTCATAGTCGTGCTGGCCCGTCTCAATTCTTTTAGCTAGAAGCATCTGCCAGAAAACCTGTGCCGTTAGCAACAAAAACTTGCGGGGAACTGCGCAAAAAACGCATCTTTGCATCAGCAGTCGGTAAGATGGCCAATTATTTCTTTCACAGCAAACGTTGAGATAAACAAACCAGTAATTAAAAGCTATTTCAGGTGTTCCAAGTGCACAGCAGTGGCAACTTTGCGAAAATTAAGTAATACAACGATTTTGGGACTAGCACATTTCCTCTGTTTTCGTTAATTATGCGCATGGGAAAAAGCACACTTACCATGCTTAAACTTGAGAAGAACCGTGAAACGATGCTTGGCTGATCACGAAGATCACTGGA